CCAATGTCCCCAGCTGGTCCCCCTCACCGTGTCTCATCTCCTTCAACATCTCCTCCTGGAGCTGGAGGAGGAAGGCGTAGTGCTCCTGCATCTCCTGCGAAGGATCCACCATCAAGGTCCTCACCAGGTTGGAGCAGTAGGACTTGTACCGGATGCCCATGGCGCACGTGATGGCCCCGAAGTGCATGTGGTTCTTGTCGCTACGGAGGAGAACATCAACCCCGAGGGGGTTTCGGGGGTAAAACCAGCAAAAATCGGCCACTGAACCCCCCCCGACCCCCCCCAAAAACCCGGAGGTTCTCCCGACCTGACGACGCTGAACTTGAGGTTGTAGTTGCCGCCGCTCTGGATGATGGGAGGGTAGCGGAGGGTAGCACATCTCCACCGCCGAGGGGTCGGCCCCCGCCAGGTATTTCTTCTCCTCGATGGCCTTCTCCACCGATTCGGCCAATTTGCTGTGCCGCACTTTCTGCGGGGAGTGACATCGTTATGACATCACCCGCCCCTGCGTTTCCGGGCCTCTCCCCGCCCCGGCCCAAAAGCGGAGGTTTCCGACCTCGTCGGCGTCCACGATCTCCATCACGCGCTCCTTGAAGAACTTGGTGAAGACCTCGGAGGTGATGGCGGCCGCCTTGCGCATCAGGTTGAGCTCGCCGTCCTCCTTGGCGGCCATGGTGTAGGCCACCACGGCGCTGATGTCCACCTGCAGTTGAGGGACAACCCACGGCTGAGGGACAATGTCTGAGGGACCCAATGGCTGAGGGACACCAAGGGTTGAAGGACCCAAAGCTTGAGGGACTCAATGGTTGAGGGACACGAGGTTGAAGGACACCAATGTTTGAGGGATCGAATGGCCGAGAGACACCAAAGGCTGAAGGACGATTGAGGAACACCAATGGTTGAGGAACCCAATGGCTGATGGACACCAAAGGCTGAGGGACCCAATGGTTGACGGACAACGGTTGAGGGAGAATCAATGGTTGAGGGAGAACCAAAGGTTGAGGGAGAACCAAAGGTTGAGGGACACCAAAGGTTGAGGGATGACAGCTGAGGGACACCAAAGGCTGAGAAACAGTTGAGGGACCCAAAAGTTGACAGACCCAAGGGTTGAGAGAATGTTTGAGGGACCCAAAGGCTGAAGGACAATGGTTAAAGGACACCAAGGGTTGGGGGACACCAAAGGTTGAGACACCCAATGTTTGAGACACCCAGTGTTTGAGGGATCCAATGGTTGAGGGATCCAATGGTTGAGGGAGAACCAAAGATTGAGGGACACCAAAGGTTGAGACACCCAATGGTT